GTTTTTATGGCTTTATTTGTGATTTTCATGAATTTCCTTCGGTGAAATCTTCCAAAATTTTTACATCATATCGCTTCCAGCGGGATACGAAGTTTAAACACAAAAAAGTAGGGTTTGTAAAGGCAGTTTTTTTTTATATTTTCAAATTTTTGTCTTTTACCGCTGCAAAAAATCTGGTCTTATAGATTCCCCTGAAAAATGAGGTCTGACTAAAGTAAAATATTCACTACCAATCTGCCAAATTTTACGGAATTTCACCAAAGGAAACGTGAGAAAATTCACTGTCAGTTTTGCTTTTTGTGCTCATGTTGACATAATAAAATATCGAAAAACACTGATGTTTTCTTTTGAGCGCACGCAGATTACTTCCTCAGCGCTCGTGCGATCATAAAACTATAGGGAGCCACCTTAAGCTTATATGAAAAGAGTAAGTTTTTCCAGTTGCCCAAAGGCAAAAGTTAGTCGTCTGTGGCACCCAAGCACTTCTACAGCACAGCCTAGAAATTGCACACCTGCTGCATGTAATATTATACTGCTCAANTGTACTCATGTTGACGTAATAAAATATTGAAAAACACTGATGTTTTCTTTTGAGCACACGCAGATTACTTCCTCAGTGCTCGTGCGATCGTAAAACTATAGGGAGCCACCTTTAGCTTATATGAAAAAAGTAAGTTTTTCCAGTTGCCCAAAGGCAAAGGTTAGTTGTCTGTGGCACCCAAGCACTTCTACAGCACAGCCTAGAAATTGCACACCTGCTGCATGTAATATTATACTGCTCAATCAACAAAAGAGTAGATTATTTATAAATATGTATTCTTACCTTCTCTAAGGCTATCCTAGCATGAGTCTCATAGACTTGAACTGTAAATGAATCCCTAATTCCTTGCACCTAGATGAAATTAATGATTACAAAACTAAATTCAATCGCTGTTTGCTCTTTCAATTTGATTGAAAGATCAATCAAATTGAAAATTACTGTTGGAAAAAAAGAACACTGATGCATTGCAGATCTCAATACTCTTAAGAACAATAATATTATTTCTTTTCTGCACAACAAACAGACCACTAGACATGTAAACTGCACTTACTGGAACAAATCTGAAATTTACTTACCGTAAGATCTTGACGAACAGACTTAAGCTGCTCACAAACATAAGCATAGTCTTGAGTTTCTTTCCAACGGTTTTTGATGTTTTCCATAGACTTGCGTAGTACTTCCACAGGACGAACAGTTGAGGGGTCTGGAGCCTGTTAAGAAAATTACTTAAGTGAGTGTGATTCTCAATGGCACTAGCATTTTTTGCTAGTCAAATTTCACTCACTGGAGAGCAAACAAAATGGGTTAAATACAAGTATTGACAACATGTGTTTTAAGTTTACATGTAGTAGAACTTACTGAAGTAAGCCTAAGATAAGGCTTTTCTAAGTCTTCACAGGTCCCAACCACATGGTATTTACTCCAGTCCATTTCTTCCCCATCTTCACCAAATGACTGCAAAAAAATAATAACAAATAATTCAGAAAAAGAAGCCCTACTAAAAACGGGTAAAAGTAGAGTCATGAAAGAGCAAACATTCAAAATGTAGTGATTCTTACCATGGCATGAATACTGTTTAAAATACTAGTTGCTGCTGACCGCTGGGGCATTAAAGATGACTTGAATCTCTCTGCACGTTTCTGTATTTTTTCTTGTGCCTCTGGATCAACATTCACAGTATATGCTATTTGTGACCTGCAGAAATCAAAATTTAAGTTTACAGAAAATGACCTTCATCCTCTTAAGTCTAGATACATGTACATGTACTAACAGACAGCAACGGGGTACAAATGTTCCTCACCCTTTAGCATTCTTTTTTCCCTTCTGAGTTTTTCCTCCTTTACTCTTTGGTTTAGGAGATTTCTTTCCCAGTCGTTTAGGATCAAATGCCTTTGTCCTTGTCTTATTCTCAGGACTCACACTTCTGCTTCTACTCCTACTGCGACTTCTGGAACGTGACCGACTTCTGCTTCTTTCTTTTCTCCTACGAGTTGGTGGGGGAGATCTCCTCCTCGACGGATGCCATCTGGGCAGCTTTTTATCCTCTTGGGGTGATCTCTTGAAGCTATTATTGGTTCATAAGAAAATTTAATCAAATACAAGTACACCTGTTTTTTTGAAAATAACTTTTTCAGCTCCTTATATAAAGTTTCTTATTTCACAAAGCCCTCAGTGAAATCCCCAAGACACTTGGAGGACACAACGACATGAAGGAACAAAGCTAAGCAATTTTATCCCTGATTGCAATCATAAAGAGATTCAATCAATATTTCCCACCTTGGGACTAAAAGAAAATTGAAGGCCACATGTATGAAACCACAACAACAAACAATGCTCATTTATAGGATTTCTTACCTAGGTAAGGGTTCTTTGTCCCAGTCAATCACCCAGGCAGTGCCATCTTTAAATGCTGTAGTCAGCATATTTTTTAGAAACTGCTCTGTTTGATCCTTATCAGTCTCTGTTTCACACTTTTCAAATGCTCTCTGGACATACTCCCTAAATGAAAGAAACACAAAGATGAAAAAGAGATTGATGACAACACACTTAGTTTGCATTGAAAAAAAAGTCTAGAGCATATCAATAACCAGTTATAATCATTTTTCAAGAAGTTATCATGCATGAAAGAGATCAGCTGAATACTCTTCAACAAAAACAATTCTCATTTAAGTTGTGAACTAACTTACAAAATAAAACAACAAAGGTTTAATGGACAGCCAGGACTTGGGTGGAGGGGTGCAGTTTTAGACTTTCTAATATTATATGGCTAAACATATCATTGGCATGCTTGTACTGGGATTAGCTTTTCAGTTTTGGTAGTGTCCACAAATAGCATCAATAAGTAGACATTTTAAATGAAGAAATGAAATAGACCATTCCCTAGTTTCCTTTTTGCCTGTGTCAAAACAATTCTTTGTGGGGAACCATCCATTTGAAAATGAGCTCTGCCTACAGGTTCATTTTCAGGTAGATCAAACTCATTTTCATATGAAAGGTTTTACACAAGAACTCATTTTGAAACAGAGGCACAAGGCAACTGGGAAATGGCCTATTTTTAACCAACTAAAACATGAAATTGTGTGACATTTGGGCTTTCATCTTGAACAGGGATCCAACTATAGGGTTGCCTGAAGAGGTGGTCTACTTCATGATCTCAGCTGACCACTCTGTTTAGCTATCCTTCTAATGCTTCACAAAATATGGCAAAATCAGCCACCAACTCCAACAATAAGGGCGCCTACTTCAAAACTCTGTGGCTGTCCTGGAACAAACAACCTTTGTCCTAAATGGCATCAGGGTTTTAAAATGATGGTAATATAACAGACATAACATGGAAAATGTACCTCAAACTAGGTGGCCACTCTTGGGCTGACAGTGAGTTATCATCCCTGGGAAAAAAACAACAAACATTCTAAGAACAGGTGACGAGAATGATTATTGTGAAAGCCCACAAACATGATCAAGCTAACCGAGTATCGTTTTCAGGAGGCGTTTTTTCTCGTTTTGGTTTCCTTAGAGGTTCCTGCTGTTGATGCTGCTTCTGCTGTTGCTGCTGCCTCCAGATAGGACTGCTTGGTTTAGATGGTTCCAGTTGTGGTGAAGAGCTATAGCGTTCATCTTGGGAAGGACCACTCTCTCCCTCAAATGACGGTCTGAACTTCTTTGTATTTGGTGAAGAGAAATGATTGTTATTCAGATTTCCACCTGGAGATCCAGACACAAGCATTCTTATTAAATTCTCAACCTCACATAATGCATGCCTAATTTTCTGACTGGTTCACTGAATCTTGCACATTGGTCAGTGTACCAAGTTTGACACACTTGTAATATGGTGAATGTGTGCAACTTAAAGTATTTTGGTCCAAAGAAAAAGTTACATTTGATCTTGTTGAATAGGACAGAATAAGTGTAATAAATTCAGGGCTACAAACCTTGTTTATTATTTATCATCTAATATCTAATGCAGACTGATGGGATAATTATCTAACTTTCTTGGAAGGATAACTTACAGCACATAATAATAGTGACTGTGCTGAGCATCATATGTGTACATGAAGATGCAAATGTCAACCTACAGGGCTCGAAATTGCAACTCACTGGTCGCCAATGTGACCAAAAATTGAGCACTGGCGACTAAATTTTCAGAACTGGTCGCCAGCTGGCGACTCGTGTTTTGCCCGATAACTAAAGAAAACACAACTTTTGTTTTTAAATCTTTATATTAGGAAATCAATCGGATATGGTAGCTAGTATACAAGTCACCTTTCCGTCCCCAGTAAAATAATGTCTGAATATTACAAGACAATCGAAAAGATTGAATGTATTTCGACATGTCGATACTGCGTTCATGGTGCGCCATACTGTTTCAACGGCTTCTTCCGAAACTGGGATCGCAGGCGCACTTTAACACCATGTGCTTTTCATTTGCCGCAAAAATGGCGGCAGATACCAATCAGTTGAAGGAATTATGCAAGTTTTTATGTGCGGGGAATGAAGATTCAGCCAAAAGGTTATTCCAAACTTTGAATCCTTCAAGGAAAGCAAGTCAAAAATAAAGAACAGCATTTCNCACTACCATAAAATTTAATAAGATCTTAAGTTGTGATAAACTTGACAATCTAGACATCCAGTAGTCAGAAGGTTTCTTTACTGGCATGCTTTGATATCATCCATTTACAATGTTGAATCTCACCTTTTCATTTTGGTGGGAAAATGACGAGCGCTGCTGATTTCTGGCTTGCCATGGCTGCCTTGACTGATATGTGTTTTGTGTTGGATAATTACGAAAAGAGTTATTGTCATTAGTTTGTTCAGATGCTGAAGTGTCACTGTTCTCAGTGGAGTTCAAGGAGCTGGCTGTGGATGAAGGCACTGATGGTGGTGATGGTTGGTAGGTCTGCATAGCAGAGAAGTCAGAATCACAACAAAATTACTAGAGCAGCACAACATTAATGCCCATTAGAAATAGTCTTGCATAATGTACATGCACCTGTACAGTCTATTTCTTAATAGATGGAAGTACATTGTAACAAGAAGCATTACTTGAACCACACTCAACACAAGTCTGTTCCAATTCTATAAATTGGAGAAGCTAAAAAGACATTTGACCAGCACTTGACTAGAATGACTAAGAGTATTCCCACTCCCTGACATTTAGTCAGGTTTTCCTAATAGTTTGGCAAACCAATTTGTATACCTGAGTGGAGAGGAGCAGCAAGATTTAAGTGTTTCCCTCAGGGTTCAATTATTGACTTCCCAAAGTAAAGTCAACATAAGCTTTCTCACAAAATAATTTCTTTGATTAGGCTGTTCTTAACAATGCAGTCACTTAGCTATATAAAATGCAACATTCGTTTCAACATAAAGAGGTGTCATGTTCATGAATAAAGCTAACAAAACACTTACTTGAGTTGGAGGTACATTTGCCTGTGGAGGAGGCATTGTAAAAGCTGGTACATAACCAGGATATTGGTATGAATACGGAGCATAACCACCCCATGTTTGATAATATTGATAATACTGTTGATAAGCAAGCGTTTGCTGTTGAATGGTGGATGCAGCATTGGTAGTGTTGCTGTTGTTCGTCTTGGATTTTACTGGTGACTTGGTTATTTGTGTGTTCACTTTGGCTAGAGCCTGCCTTGCTCTTTCCCACTCCGGTGTCTCAGCTTGTTTAGACCCTTCAGTTGACTCTGAATTCTCACTATTTTCATTATTGCTGCCTGTATCTGCTGCTTGATACTGTCGAGACCTGAATAACATTAAGCAATCCTTTATTAGGATAATCAATTTCCGTACCTGCTGTGGCGTTGTTGGGTCTGTTGAACATTTGATAGGTGTCTGATATATATAGCGATTGTGCCAGGATCCAGTAAACAGTCTGTGACAGTAAGGGATCTGTACGTTTTTCAAGGGTGTCCATACGGAAAAGTTTGACTGCACGTCAGAAATCAACCTTACACGAACTATTTGGTAACAGATTTGCACATAAGTTACTTGTAACAACTGATCTTCAGGAACTTAACGTTGCATTTTTGTGATGCTTATGAAGGGGAAATGAAATATAGTTCCAATGCAAGGTAGAAATTCTCTTCTACTCTCTCTGTTGTGAGGTAAAGGACTTTGTATCTCGCTAGCATGGGTAAAAGATGTTGCCCTTCCTTTGAGTTGAGCAGTTGACTGAGGACGAAAATTTCAATACGTAGAACTCATCAAAGTTAACCCTTCCCTTGCGAAAGTTTTCTCATTGCAGTTACTGGGTGAACGACGTCAAGTAATACCCACAAAAAAATTAATCGTGCTATCAGCAAACTACGGTCGCTACATGTCTACAAGTAATGGATTGGCATCATTGAAGACAAAGGGCGGACTTTGGCAACCGAAGATTTCTTTTAACTAGGGCCTCTACTAACCAATTAGCGGCAGCAGCTAACTCCTTTGCGTTCCAACTTGATATCATCTCTTTATACTTTGTCATAAGCTTTACGACGGAGAGAAAACTCTATGTTTTTCTCAACTTCTTCCCAACCAGGATTTCATACCTCACGTCATAATCGAAACTGAAGTTCAACGCGCGAGCAGTGATGCATCATGGGTAGAATCACATCAGAGGGTACATCAATTATTGTTCAATTTACGCACCCAATGAGTCACGCATGCGTAGTTGTATCTACCGGTCTCCGCCATCTTGAGAGTTGTACGTTGTATTTCGCACGTAGTTTGTACTTTTACTCATTTTTTTGTGTGGCGTCTAGGATCGGTAAGCATCATTTACTGTTTTTAATAGAGGTTGTAACATAGGATGGTTCTGAAATCATACTGAGTGCAGATTCAGAAACGAAATTAGCTGTGAATTTTGTTGATGATATGGCGAGCTAAGCAAGGAAACTATATTCATGCTGATATCTGTGATGAAGGAATTTCCAAGAACACAGTTATAGAGTGCTATGTCCTTATATCAGTAGCCCCTAAATTGATGACAACCCATATGAATCACTGCTTGAGATTCTTAATTTGATTTTCAGGTGCAGGCTTGGTAGGATATTTTTGTAGAAACCACTTCCTTAAATAGAAAAGTAATGTTACAAATTTTCTTCAGAGACACATCTTAAGGGATGTCTTTGTTAGGCTTTAATAAACACAGTGCTCCTATTGGCTATTGTTTTCGTTTCCTGGCACGTGTTGTAGGATTGATCAGAATATTAGATTGGGAAATGTGAGCAACTGGATTTACAAAGTTACTAGGAGAAAAATATTACCAATTTGAATACTTGCATCAGTCTTTTACTTGTAGTTGTCTAAAGGATAAACAAAGATCATGGCAGAAGAAGAAAAGAAATTTGAACTGAAGACTGCTCCATTTGATGCAAGGTTCCCATACACTAACCAGACAAAGAACTGCTGGCAGAATTTTGTGGACTTCCATCGCTGTTCAAAGAAGTTTGGAGAGGAAGATGAGAAGTGCGTTTATTTTCGAAAGGTCTATAAATCTCTATGCCCTGATAGTTGGGTAAGTTAATAAGATCTGTAGTCAGTGAAAATATGCAGGCTGTTGACCAGACATTAGGTCAAGATGGCTGTATTTTACTCAAGTTCTTTTTTCATTATTATGGACTGAGATGCAGTCAACATCAAGGCTGCTATCAAGCCGTCTTGACCAGATGAGCTTGGGAAGGATTATTACACGACTTAAAGAATGCCATGTTCTTGAAGGAAACTTCTGGTAATAACTAGCAGGCAAGATAGCCTCATCTTGCCTACTCGTGAAGCGTATCAGAGTGCAGCTGCAGTATATCTTGCCTGCTCATGGTGCTAGCCTTACTATAAAGAGGGATTGCTTCCCATTGTTTCATAATACCAAAAAAACAATCTACAACAAAAAGCTATTCCCCCTCCACCAGAGAAATACAGAGTTTCATTTCCAGAATGATTTAACATGCTGAGACATTTGAGGAATCCTTGATTTTAGAATATGCCATATAAGTAGACCAGGGCAATACACTGTATATATATCTTATTAACCAAGCATGAGGACCATACTGGGAAAATATTGGTCCGAGGTCTTGACAGTATAGACAGAGTGCAGCAAGGTCCGTACAAAGGAGACTGAGGCCCAATATTCTTGTGGTGCAGGTCGCAACAAGCTTGGGTAATAAGAGATTTATTACACAACTGAAAATGTTTAGGAAAAAATGCCACAATCACAGACTGGAAAAAAAGGCGCACTTCTGATTGGGAGCCGACTAGGCATATACTCATGGCAATAAAGAGATTCAAATAAAAGGAATCTTTTATGTGTAAAACAAGTACTTTCAGAGACATAAGCCATAAAACCACCAAAAAATCTTGAAGTAACATGTTGTGCACAGAAAATTGAACTCACACTTTGTGCAACATATTGCCACAAATTATGCAACAACATTGTATGACAAGTTGAAAGAAAATTTTGCCTGTATTACTAAACTGTCAGTCTAAGCAATGCTTTTCACTGCTGCTGTCGCTACGTTACTGCACAAAAGTAAGTTGCCTCTTTCATCTTGTTTCTTTTGACTCAAGTCTCATTTCTAAGATGGTGGCACATGGNGAAGAAGAAAAGAAATTTGAACTGAAGACTGCTCCATTTGATGCAAGGTTCCCATACACTAACCAGACAAAGAACTGCTGGCAGAATTTTGTGGACTTCCATCGCTGTTCAAAGAAGTTTGGAGAGGAAGATGAGAAGTGCGTTTATTTTCGAAAGGTCTATAAATCTCTATGCCCTGATAGTTGGGTAAGTTAATAAGATCTGTAGTCAGTGAAAATATGCAGGCTGTTGACCAGACATTAGGTCAAGATGGCTGTATTTTACTCAAGTTCTTTTTTCATTATTATGGACTGAGATGCAGTCAACATCAAGGCTGCTATCAAGCCGTCTTGACCAGATGAGCTTGGGAAGGATTATTACACGACTTAAAGAATGCCATGTTCTTGAAGGAAACTTCTGGTAATAACTAGCAGGCAAGATAGCCTCATCTTGCCTACTTGTGAAGCGTATCAGAGTGCAGCTGCAGTATATCTTGCCTGCTCATGGTGCTAGCCTTACTATAAAGAGGGATTGCTTCCCATTGTTTCATAATACCAAAAAAACAATCTACAACAAAAAGCTATTCCCCCTCCACCAGAGAAATACAGAGTTTCATTTCCAGAATGATTTAACATGCTGAGACATTTGAGGAATCCTTGATTTTAGAATATGCCATATAAGTAGACCAGGGCAATACACTGTATATATATCTTATTAACCAAGCATGAGGACCATACTGGGAAAATATTGGTCCGAGGTCTTGACAGTATAGACAGAGTGCAGCAAGGTCCGTACAAAGGAGACTGAGGCCCAATATTCTTGTGGTGCAGGTCGCAACAAGCTTGGGTAATAAGAGATTTATTACACAACTGAAAATGTTTAGGAAAAAATGCCACAATCACAGACTGGAAAAAAAGGCGCACTTCTGATTGGGAGCCGACTAGGCATATACTCATGGCAATAAAGAGATTCAAATAAAAGGAATCTTTTATGTGTAAAACAAGTACTTTCAGAGACATAAGCCATAAAACCACCAAAAAATCTTGAAGTAACATGTTGTGCACAGAAAATTGAACTCACACTTTGTGCAACATATTGCCACAAATTATGCAACAACATTGTATGACAAGTTGAAAGAAAATTTTGCCTGTATTACTAAACTGTCAGTCTAAGCAATGCTTTTCACTGCTGCTGTCGCTACGTTACTGCACAAAAGTAAGTTGCCTCTTTCATCTTGTTTCTTTTGACTCAAGTCTCATTTCTAAGATGGTGGCACATGGTGAACGTTTTGCTATTCTATGTCTCTCTCTGCTCTGATCAGTAGATCACTTTTGTACCCCCATTGTACATGTGGGCTAGGACATTATGTATTATAAAGTTGCTGCATTACTTACAAATTGTAAGTGATCTAAGAGATGCCTATTTGTTTAACATAAGTCCCATCATAGGTAAATGGTGCAAGTGTAAATATTTAATAATATTTAATAAGGAATATTTTATATTTTAATTCTGAATTTATCTTAGCAGTACAGTAATTGTAAGTAGTACCGGCAATGTCATTGTAAAAAGTCGTGCGTTTTTGTCACAAGCCCCTGGCTCAGGAGATTGGGCAAAGACTCCCTACGTTTACAACTTAAAATAAAGTTACCTTACCTTACCCTACGGGGCAAGGGTATGGAGGCAACTCCCAGTCCCCCACCTTCCATCAGCAATTAGCTTCTCCTTTCCCCATTTAACCCCTGCTATGGAGGCTAGTAAATGTACGGTGGAAGTTATTTTCTTAATTGAAGTCAATGTATAACTTTCTCTTGTAGGTAGAGAACTGGTCTGAACAAGTTGAGAATGGCACCTTCCCTGGTCGTATTTGATGATATTTTGCTTGTTTGTGCGACTGGTTTATTTCTTTTTGGATTTGACTGTTTGTAAATGGTGATGCACTTTGACACAACTATCAACTGTATTGGTTTTGTTTGTGTACAAGAAGCTGATATGTTCTGGTGCAAGAGGCCTGTTAAATATTGTACCATTTTAATAGTAATTAATTGTTAAAATAAAAGTGATTGATCACAAGAAGGTGCCTGTGGTTATTTTATTATTTATTTATTTATTTTTTTTTTTGCTTTGTTACTTATTAAGCCATTCAATCTTGGCGGTCATTTGATGTGACTATCTAGGTGAGAGAGCTCTTGAAAAATATGCTCATGGAACACATGTTATTTGAAGTACAATATTTCTTGGACTTAATAAAGTTGAATGGGGGTGGGTTAATAATCAGATTTTTTTTCTTTTTTTCCGTTAGCAACACGATAGCTCTATGAAAAGGTGGTAAGGGGGGTAGGCACATAAGTAGGTAAGGTAAAGTCCACGTTTTTTGGCATGTTTATGGACCTCGATTTTGCCTCGGTCCATAAACATGCAAAAAAGAACTTGGCCAATATTCACTATCTTGACCTCACGCTTGGTCAGTAATCCATAAATATTCTGGCTTTAGACAAGCCACTGATATGTCGTTTTGAAGCAATCCAAACAGTTGGGAGAATCTGTACATGTGATGTTAGCAAACAGGCGTGTGATGAAAGCAAAAACGGGTGCGTGACAAGTAAAATTAAAGTGATTCTTGAATTTATCAGGATAAATTACTACTTCCCCCCGTTCTTTCCTTCAGTGCCCTGACCTGTACAGCAGTTGGTACCGCCGTACTAAGACCAGCTAACCGTACATGGGGTAAACCCGTATTTAGGTCAATATTGTACATCGAAAACAATCTCGTTTCAAAACGTGACAAATTACGATCTTAGGCAATGGTTTTGGTTTTTGCAACAGCAATTTTTTTTATTTTTCTGTGTCAAAAGTGTGGGTATTTACAGTGACGGTTTGGAAAGATCAGTGTTGCCATTATACCCCAAGGGTTTTCTTTTGATTTATTGCATTTGTACGCATTGATTTAAAATGAGTTAATTCACTCGGTGTTCTTCTATCAGAGAGTGTTCTTATCCTAACTATTTCAAGTCTTTCAAGGCGTCTCCACAATGTGTCCTAAACTCGGTACTAAGTGCGTGGTTGTCCTCCGAGGGAGAGTGGGTCTAGTCTGCTCAGAGCCCCTGGGCATTAACGATCGTCTTCTGTCGAAAGGACTCAGTAGAGAAGTGGTTCCTCGCGTTGCGTTCGCACTCAAAGTCGTTCTTCGCGACGACAAGCCAGGAGCTTCAAGAAAGTTTTTGTTTCCCAGCATTGTTGGAGAAATAGAGCCTCTCTTTCCCATTCCCGGACCAAGTCCGAGCATCGTCGATCCCCGTCGACCATCACGAAAACTGACGTTGCTACCTCTGCGACCCATTTCGGGAGCTCCGGGAAAAGCCGAAGACCTCCGACGACCCGAGCCGCGTGGTCTAAGAAGGTCTAACAAGTTCATCTCGAGTTCTTGGTCATCTGTGACTGACGACGCATTGTCTCTGAGATGAGCCAGTGGATCGGGCCAGTACCCACTTGGTGGTAACAGAATTGGATCAAAACTATGTCTGTACGACTCTGAATGTTGAATACCATACAGGCTGAGAAGTCTACACATTTCTGATTTTGCAGTGAGAGGAACCGCTCCGCCTTTAATTTTCGCCATCTGCTCAGTTTTCCTCCTTGTCAAAGACACAGTAGTAGTGATACTTCTGGGGGAAACCGACCCCGCTTTTTTGGTTTCTGATGGCAACGTGTTCTCCTGACACTGAGGTGACGTAGGCAAGGATGTCTCGCTTGTCCTTCTAATCTTTTTGTCAATTGAGTGTCTTCTTTGTTGCAGTGAAGGTGCCATCTCATTAGCCCTGTTTTCTTGAACAAAGTTGTTCTGAATATTCTTATTTGCTAAATCTGAAGCCGGTCTTGGTGTTTGTCCATCTGGCTCTGAATCGTTTTCAACGTTTTGAACAGCGAGTTGTGGAGACGGGCTCCTCCGCGCAATCAGCTCTGACAAATTGGTCAAAGAACGCTTTTCAGCCCATTCTTTAGTGTTGAGAAAAGTTTCGGGGTCTCTGATCGTAAGAGAAGCTTTTCCTTCGGTCATGAGGACTTGAGCGCACGCATCGTGCCCCTGTTTAGTAGCTTGTAGAATCGGAGTCATTCCCTGCGCATTCTTTTTATCGATATCCAATCCAAATCGCTTTAACGCTGTAACAAGCATCTTCACAGTATTTACTTGGCCGCTGGAGGCGGCGTAGAATAGCGCCGTGTTGCCGAATTTGTCTCCCTTGTTCAAATCAAGATCCAAAAGAGAAGAGTCCAGGATTTTTCGGATGACATTTTCCTGTCCGCGAATACATGCCCACATGAGGGCTGTCTTCCCCTCGCGATCAACAACATTGACGTGCGCTCCGTGTTCGAGTAAAATCTTGACGATTTTGTAGCGAGTTCGGTGCATTTTGTCGGGAAGAAAAATCGCTTTCATCAGAGGAGTCTGTCTGTTTTCGTCCACCTTGTTCACATCCTCATAACTTGACTCAAGTAAGAAGTTCACTTGGTAGATTCTACCTCTTGACACGGCGTCCAACAACATGGCCAAGTTTGATTTCTCCTCGCGCAGTCCTGGAATACTATAGAAACCGTTAGCAAAACAAGTCAATACATCATATATTAGTCACATTCATTTATACCTTGAAGCTAATGGGCCTAACTCCTTTGAGGATTACTTCCATTGTGAAAAACTTTTATAGAATCCAATTGCAAAGCACTTACGTAAAGGCGGATTTTGGTTACAATAGAGTCTTGACAGTAATGCTAGCCTGTTAGCACGAATCAAGAGTGAATTAGCATTCAATCTTATTTGAGAGCTCCTCTAAAACCCTTACAATACGCACGAGCTATTATTCGAACACAATAGCCTTTTGTCTTCCCTGTACTTGCTTTGTCTTGATGTACTTAACTTTGTCTTACACGCACTTCCTTTGAGCAATAAACAGCATGAAATTATTTGCGGCGGTGGATAACAAGATTAGAGTTTAGTTAAAACCAACTAACTCACGTGTCAAATAAAGCAAACGACTCCGTAGAAAACGCGAGAGGACAGATTATTGAAAAAAAAACAAGTTGGAGAATTCGTGGAAAGTCATAGTTTTATTTTAGACTTGCTTTACAAGTTTCCTAGCGATAATTTTCGATCTGTGGCCATCAAACTGCCGATGTTTAATTAGATGCTTGTGAGCATCAACCCCGGGGCATCAACTCCTCGACTAATACCATCAGATAAGAGTAAACAAAGAGTGATTTTTAAGCGATACGTGAAAGGTAAAATTAGCTGAAAAAAATCAACTCCTCTTGGCTCTTCGATTTCAATTTGCCCCACGTTACGTTATCAGCGAATTTCCACTTTAAAATTGGCTTTACTACTCACGTAGTTCGATGTAATGACCCCGTCAGCTCGGCTCCACGATGTCTCCATTGTTGCCTAGCAACTTCTTTTGCGAAAATCGCGTGCTCAACTCTCTCAGACAGGAGGATAATTCATATGTATTTAGCACTTATTAACAAACAAATCAGGGTTCAATGCAAGCAAAGTACTAACAATCTGAACGCACGATGCCTTTTGGGAAAAGTTGGCTTGAATATATATGGTGCCAGTCAAACATGTTCCTAAAGTTCTCAAAATCTGTGATTGAAGAATCCATCTATTATCATCTTAAAAATGCTCCACCTTTCGATGAGAAAGATAGACAGCAATTCAACCAAAATGGATTAAAATGTACTTTAAAGTGATTTTTGTACTTTTTACCGTCTCGAAGTGACTCCGTGCGCAGGACATCGTGAAATAGGAAGTACGATTGGCGGTCTTCGTACACTTCAACACTGCCTACAAAGGTTGCCCTCATTATGTTATGCCTATCCCCTTGCCTGCTTGTTTGTTATTTCATGTGGCTGTCAGTAAAAGAACGCTGAGAGTCTAGTCAAGGATGACTTTCAAAATACGCCGGCTTGTTTGTCTAAAATAGCGGTTGACGGTTTGTGAGAGGCGAAAGTCAGAGTCAACCATCAAAGTCGAAAGACGATAGACGGGGGTAAACCGTCCACTGTTTCTAACACCGATTCTTTGTGAAAATTCTTGAAGACTCTCCGAAACTCATAATTTCATTAGAAAACTGGGCGAAAGCTCGGGAGTTGAAAGTTATTATGATTATAACTATTCTGTCAGGATGACGTCAAAAAAAAAAATAAGTCAGGTAGTTTGATAACTTCCTTTTTGGAAGGTGAGGACCGGAGTAACAACTTTGTTTCAAGTTTTACAGTATGAAACAAACTTGTTATCGAGAAAACACTTCTGTATTTCTTCAGATTGTATACGTGACAAGAAGGTAACAACGTGTTGAGTTTCCTGCCTTATCCCCAGAATAATTAATTCACATCTCTTCTTTGTCATGCGAGTTTGATAAAGTATCCTTCTGTCCTTAAAGATTGTGTGTGTATATATGCAAATAGATCGCAAATCATTTATGTATATCTCCCTCTTGGTTACGAAACTACAAGTAACAAAATTACCACATCAATATTTGGCGTATATTTTTAGTCTAGTAATAGCAAAGCCTTCATACGTGACCCTGACTTGTTAGAACATTTATTCTTGCCCAATCAGTAAATTCAAAAGGCCAGTCATGCCTGACCTACCGTGCAATAAAACCCCATATCATCCATTGGCGTTCTTGTCACAACAAAGAGCTTGGAGACAATGGGACAAGAAATTATTAGATGAATTTTAATCAACAGTGAGTTGAACGAGCAGTTACAATGATATGAAACGGTGTCACAATTCAACAGATCACCCTGTGAGTCCATTGAAAGCAGGTTAGAGTTCCGCTGAATACGAAGTAAACAGTCTTTGCGAGACTTAAACGAAGCCTAGAAGGGGACTAGCTATGCTGGCTCCTTCGTTGTCTGTCGGTCACCAAAGGCAACCGCCTGACGATAGAAAGGTAGCGTGGATAGACACTCATTTGAAAAACTGCGGCAACGAGAGTCATTCTGTTGTAAGTGGAAGACCAAGAATTCTCTTAGAAGCAGTTAGCCAAGGGAGACTTCGGCAAGTTCGCCTGCTGTTGGACGCAGGTGTTAACGTGAACTGCAAAGATTTGGACAGTGGGCAAACAGCGTTGATTAGAGCCATGTTTTTAGAAAACATTAAACTTCGTCGAAGGACCGCGAAGATGCTGATGAACTACGGCGCAAAAGTAAAATTATTGGACAAGTTTGGTCGATCGGCTCTGTCGTGGGCCTGTCTTCTGGGACGAGAGGATATGGTCAAGTTGTTTTTCAGCCATCCCGAGGTAGACCTTGCATTGGGAAGCATTGATTGTGAGGGAAACACGAACTTAATGTTGGCAAGCATGTCGGGCAATGTAAACATTGTTAAAACGATATCAAAAGTTTTCAGAAGGAACAGACTTGACGTAAACAGAGTCAACAATCGAGGAAAAAGTGCGTTAAAGATCGCATACAGCAAAAAATTTAGTGACTGCGCGGAGGTGCTTTTGAACGAAGGCCATGTAACACAATGTGCCGACGAGACAAATCTACTGCGAGACGCATTCAGCGCCTCACTAGGACAGAAAAAGAACAAGCCGCACACAGGACTGCGGCAAAACTCTTGTAATCTCCCGAGGTTATTTGGTCTGTACACAGAACAGCTTACAAATTCGTATCCTCGAAATTGCAGGTCTGGAGGTGGTGTGAAGCACTCGGCTTATTGATTAAAAAGAGATTACATTGTAAAGATTAGAAGATTAACTCACGGGACACCTGGATCGTCGCTCAAGATTGTGATATCGCCTCCCATGAAATAAACTGGAGTACGTTGAAGTAGGAAAACTTCTCTAACAATGTCCGGGTAATTTAATGTCGTTTAGTTTGCATAATAAGCAGTTTTCCCATAGAGAATGATGTTTTAATTACAAATTTTAATTAGGTAAGAAATTATTAATGTTTATGTAGGACTGAGAACAAGACAAGATAACATTGGTTTGTGAAAAAACAGAAGAATGATTAAAATAAGAAAGTGTATTATTACGTGGAAATGCTAAATGACTCAAACTGCAGAGGAGTTGAATGTGGCAGCTGAAAGTTTTCTGTTCTAACTCCATGCAAAGTTATAAAACAAAGTTAAACAAGTCTGTTATAACAAGGATAATTTTCATCAGTCTGTCACTACTATTCGAGCTTTCAAGCATTTTTTAACTTCAAGATTTGAACTTAACCTGGCGGTCTTTTACGGCTAAGACTAAGAGCGAAACTGAGTAGGAGCGATGCCAAAAACTACTACGTCTATTGTAGGAGAGAACTCATGTCTAACATGTACTTAGTGACAACAGCCGAGAGTACAACAACGAAAACCCAAATACTCTTTTCAAGAAAATGAAAATTCGAACAAAACCTTTAATTTCGCGTCCAACAGTTTTCGCGTTGTGCTAGATTTAGTTTGGATACAATTAAGTGGTAAAGCCGGTGAGAAGCAGTGTCGGAAGGTGGAGAGATAGCATTGCCAAAGAGTTTCAGAACATATTTAAAAAGTATTTAAAAAGGACTGGAGAATTGGTCAAACTTTTGGCTGCGAAAAGAAGCGTTTTTAACTGATAGCTGCCGGAATTCTTCGAAATTTACTTATGAGTACGTAGTTGTGAAATGGGATGACAGCTGAGAAATCGCCAAAAATTTAACTGATAACTGAAATCCTATTACCCCGGGGGGAGTACTCCCAGAAAAGTTGGGTGGGGGTGTGCCGCCCACTTCCCAAAACCCTTACCCTATTTATGACCAAAATCTGCGATTTTTCCTACCCTATTTATGACCTGGCCAAAAATTCAGTGCCCTATTTATGACCGTTGCGGCTGGCGCAGTTGCCTTAAACTTAAGTTATGAAGGGCTTTTGTTGACGTTCTTATTGAAAACGAAGAAAAAGTAGCTTCTAAGAAATATACCCAATTAAAGACTAGAGTGCTAAAACCATACCCTGTTTATAACCAAAATGGCCAAAATCGATACCCTATTTATGACTAAAACGGCTGAAAAACCAGACAAAAGACCGGAAACAAAATCAGGCAATAGTTGAGAAAAGGCGACCATGGCTTTATTAAAATTGTTATGCCAATACAATACCCACTCAAACATTAAAAAAAGCGACTGCATTTCAATTTAAAAACCCAATTACCGAGAGAATGAATCACCCAAATGAAAGCACAATGGACTGTGTACTACTCTATCGTTCATAAGTTTGACCCACACCGTGTGCAACATAATCTCCAACAGTACCACAAAAGGTATGACCACATTAAGATACAAAACTGACTCGAGGTCTCTACTATTTTTTTTTAATCTACAACGGGAAAATGAAACTGACAAACGCCTCGAACGAGTTTTTACAATCACGCGAGCCTGATCTTCATCTCTGCCCTCTTAGCAGAGTAGCTTCCACCCTTCCAATAACGCCAGTTGACGCCATCGTGGTAGGATTTGTGAGGCCCATTGTAATAGTAGCCATTGAGGCTGGCAACTACGCACGAATTGAACCACCAGCCTCCTTTATATACCGTGGCGCAGTTTCCCTTATTGTTATCATTGTCGCGATCTTTGGTTGAAAACGGTGAGTTACGATGATAGCCCAATGAATCACCAGCAGTACCTGAAAATAAAGGCGTACAAAAAACACAGCGATTAACGCGCTGGAGCACGAGAACCGCGGCCCTTCTGGAAGTTTCGACTTGCATGGGAACGATTAGAGGTCTTTGGGGAAACTGCGTTTCATTTTCGGAGAGGAGAGAACAAAACTCAGTGACCAGGGGGTGGGGTGGGGATCAGGCAAAGCACTGAAAGCCCTACATCTACTTTTGTGGCAGATCAGCGGAACTTAATTGCGTGGTGATTATGTGAGTCACTACACGTAAAAATGGGAATATGTTTGTGAATCCTTACCTTCCCAAAACAAAGCATGCATGTTTCAGTTTAATGAACATTAACTGACGGTATAAATTGATGCTTTCTTCTTTTGGAGGAGAGAGAACTTGGCGGATTTACAGCTTACAAAAACTGATCTAAAACCGGCTAAGCAAACAGGTTGCATCGCCTACCAGAATATGTTCCAAGACTGAGTTTATAGTTATTTCTTTCACTTGCAACAGCGAACATGTCGTAATCAGCGTATGCAGTCTTTCCTTGTGTATCTTCGAGATCCACTCGCAGTCTGTTCTTTGCCTTCGTCAGGCGGTTTATTTTGTCCAATCCCAGCCAAAACTCACCATTCAGATTACCAAAACCACGCTTGTAGTCGGGCCAACCGCGGGTGCTGAAATCAACGGAGCCATCCAATCTTTTCTGGAATACCGTCCACCCTCCACCGGCTGTTGTTTGGTCGCAGAAGACATCAAAGGCACCTGAATCATCGGGGTCGATTGTGTAAACACCGTTGATTCTTTTGCCAGATTTATACAGCTCAGCACAGTTTTTCTTCACTGCAAAAGTATAGAGTTATTTCAGTACATGACAGCGAGCAACGAGAAAGCGAAAGAATTTTATCCGTAGTGTTCACTTACCTGGCTTAAAAGTTTTGTTCCCCGTCATTGCATCGATTTTTTTCTGTACATCTGCGAGTTGATTCTGTATTTTGATGAGATGCGCCTTGATGTCTTTGTTTGGCGGTCCTGAGTAATAGTTGTTGAAGTGCACGTTGTGGCATTTGGTCGACGGGGGAGCAACTGGCGTTTTGTTGGACGCAACTTGGTTCGATGCATTCGTCACGCTACTTGCTGGCTGAAACAGTAAACTACAACAGAACAGACACAAAAAAGCGTAAATCAAAATCATTCTCGGCTGAAACGTGACCTCAGTGTAGTCTGCGAGGATGTGTTATCGATAGCTAACTAAGCTCAACAAACTCGTACAATGATTACTTGGTCGGGATACGAGCCGCTTTTTCGCGTTTCACAGATTGAGTCATTCTTGAATAATTGTTGTCAATCGAACGGAAGTTTTTCTTTGCTAATTCCCAAATATTGTTTGCAAAAAGGCACAAAATGATTGACAGAATAATTTTTAGGCTACCCTTTCACCATAAACGTCGCAAAAAGAAATAATTCAGGAACTGAGTAATTCCTGTACCATTCCAAGATACCGGCATACCTAGTGACAATAAGGAAATATTTGCCACAGAAAAATTTGGGCTTTTCTAGAAAAATTGTGAATGGAAAATATTATCCCATTAAAATTAGTATGCGTGTACTGAGTCAATGTTAAGATATGTCGAGTAAAATCAAATGAAACGTCTTAGACCGATCATTATAATTTTGTCCTTCTTTTGTGTATTTGCCTCTGTAATATTGGAGGAGGAAACAAGTAACTGGACCCAGAGTTACTGAAAAGCCAGACCGAGGCTAGGCGGAGAAAAGAAAATAAGCAGGAGGCAATTACTGATATAGGGCAAACATTTATAACCCTTGTATCGGCAAACTGAAGTGGGGGAGGGGGGTGGGGCGGGTGGTGGGAGTGTAGTTTTGTCCCCCAACTCATCCTTTCTAGGGGTTGAACTCACACAGGTTTTTTTTTTCGCGCGCCCGGGTTCAACCCCCATATAGCGCGGGGTGTTCAGGGACTGGACTATGTTCAGTGGTAAGGCTTTGCATTGATTTGTAATCGACTGAAGAATATCTCTGTTTTTTCTTTCAAAAGCTACAATATACAACACGTGGTGTTCTCTCCGTGTCTTTTACAGTGCATTTGTATGTCATTAGGTAGTCGTCGTTTACTAAAAATTTCTGATTATTTCTGTCCACCTTCATGAGAGCTAAAAAGGGCCTCGTTATTGCTCGCGCTACAAGCCTGTGTGTTACAGTTTTTACTTTTGAATTGAAGACACATAAGCGGCACGAGGGAGCTGTTCCTCTCGTCAACGATGTTAACAAGCGTGTCGGGCGATGTAAACATTGTTTACAGGATATCAAAAGTGTCAGGGGGAACAGACTGGACTTAAACAAGGCAAGACTACGAGACTATGATCAAATTCTCTTGACACGACTGAAATCATTTACACTTGTTTGGTTTAGAGAAAAAGTATTAAAATCAGAAAGTAAGCGCGGTTTCATTACGCGGACATGCTAAATGACTTTAAGTGTGAAGGAGATAATGGAAAATAGTAAACACCAAGAAGAATACTGGCTCCGGAAAACGCCAGGGATAAAGTTTGGAGGAAGGAGACAGAACTTCATTTATTTCTTCCCCTTTATAAATATTATAGCCATAGGCACACGGGCACCTTCCGACTTGGGCGGGGGCGGGGTGGCGGTGGTCAAAATTCTTGCCCGAAAAAATTACACCATGCCCGAACGCGCGAGTGTTGAAATCGGGATACAAACGTATTTAGATTGCGGTAAAAACAAAAACGTTCACAGTTCTCAAGTCTAATAAAACTGCTATAGCTCCGAAATTGTTATTTTGAAACCTCGCATACTCCATGGCTTTGATCGACAGCCTAGTAAATCAGAAACTCAAGAAAAAGTTATTTCCTCGTCAAAAAAACTTCAAGAAAAATTTTTAAAAACGGATATTCGCTGCGTCGTTCAAAAACTGGTTCTTTTCAGAGCCATCATGAAAACAAAAGTCTTGGCAGTCTGTCTTGGTTTTCGTTCACTTTGATTCTTTTGTCACTGTTGGGAAATTGGGTATGGAAATAAATTCCATATCGTGGATTTCCACGTTTGTAGCCGACATTTATAGCTTTTCTTAAACAGAATACCTGGACCCCTCATATCATGTGACTTAAAGTCCGCTCAGGCAAGTCAAACGTCAGAGATAGTACCTTACGAGTTTTAAGTAAAATCGTTTGGCATGTTTTCTGTCAAGTACCGTTGCCCGAATCATAAGCGTTCCTCGCCCCCCTCCGCTCCCAGCCCATATGCCTGTCATTATAGGAATCGTTAACCTAATACGGCATTTTAGATGTAAAACCCCGCTCAGAGAGGTAAAAGTAAAATAGTATTGAAGCCCCCGAAACATAGCTTAGAAGACCAACTACTCAGGCTAAGTGATTTTTTTTAAAGTTAAATTTAAAAACCTACGGGGGAGGTGGCATTGGAAGGAAAATTATGCCTTACTCTCCCTTTAGCACGGCTGCATTGATCCAAGACTCACAAAATACAGTCCCAGAAAAATAAATTTGAACAAGAAACTTTTCCCACAGTTTTATTTTAACTTTTTGCTCAAACGTTTCATGGGTTAATCATACCAACAGCTTACGAGTTGCTTTGGTGAAAATGATTGCTCTCTCTTAGTCTGAAGGAGTTGGAAGAAAAATTAATTGAAGTTAATTTATCGTCCCGTGAACAAAGTGACACACTGGTTTTACTGACCTCAGTAGCAAGTCTGGAGCGGATTTCTCAATGCGTTCAAGCAAAATTCCTTAGACAATTCTTTTAAACCAAAAGAAAAAAAACGAAAAAAAAAATAAACGAAACAATATCGGGCATCAATGGAGACAAGGCTACCACGGCTTTATATATTAAAACGTTTATAACCGCCCAACACAATACACGCTAAAACAAATTGCATTTCAGTTTACAAATTGAGCAACCAAAAAAAATCCACCATATAAAAGTAGAAGACAGTACTACAAAATATGTCTAACATCTTTCATAAGTTTGACCCACACCGTGTACAACATAATCTCGAACAGAACCACAAAAGTTATAATCACATTTAAGGTAGGAAAGTGAATCGGGGAGCTAGTTATCGATATTTTAATCTAGTACGGAAAACTAAAACTGACGCACGCCTCCAACGAGTTTTAACTGAAGTCAACGGGCCTGATCTTCATCTCTGTCCGCTTAGCGGAGTAGCTTCCACCCTTCCAGGTACGCCAGTTGACGCCGTCGTGGACGGATTTGTGAGGCCCACGGTAATAGTAGCCATTCAGGTTGGAATATGCACAGCAGTTGAACCACCAAGCTCCTTTAGTTACCACAGCGCAGTTTCCCGGGCAATTATCATTGTCGCGATCTTTTGATGTAAACGGTGAGTTACGATGATAGCCCAATGAATCACCAGTAGTTCCTGAAAATAAAGGCGTGCAAAAACTGACAGCACTGAGTCAACGAATATATAGGGGAAACTATTTTTCATCTACGAGGGAAAAAGAACAAGCAAAACTGTAAGCCTGGATTATTTTCGGCGAACGGTGAAGCCGAGGGAGACTAGGCAATACAGAAAGCCCTGGATAAACCTTCAGCAGATTGATTTATATGTCCAAGGAGTTTCCACTCGTAGAAATGAGTACATGTTGTCTATGAATCCTTGCCTTCCCAAAACAAGGCATTGAGAGGAAGACTAGATGGTTTTGTTACTTTGAAAAACTGATCTAAATCGATGTAAACATATAATTATTGCATAAACGCCTACCGGATTATTTTCCAAGACTGAGTTCATAGTTGCTTCTTTCACTCGAAACAGCAAAAACGTCGTACTCAGCGTATGCAGTCTTTCCTTGTGTATCTTCGAGATCCACTCGCAGTCTGTTCTTTGCCTTCGTCAGGCGGTTAATTTTGTCCAATCCCAGCCAAAACTCACCATTCAGATTACCAAAACCACGCTTGTAGTCGGGCCAACCGCGGGTGCTGAAATCAACGGAGCCATCCAATCTTTTCTGGAATACCGTCCACCCTCCACCGGCTGTTGTTTGGTCGCAGAAGACATCAAAGGCACCTGAATCATCGGGGTCGATTGTGTAAACACCGTTGATTCTTTTGCCAGATTTATACAGCTCAGCACAGTTTTTCTTCACTGCAAAAGTATAGAGTTATTTCAGTACATGACAGCGAGCAACGAGAAAGCGAAAGAATTTTATCCGTAGTGTTCACTTACCTGGCTTAAAAGTTTTGTTCCCCGTCATTGCATCGATTTTTTTCTGTACATCTGCGAGTTGATTCTGTATTTTGATGAGATGCGCCTTGATGTCTTTGTTTGGCGGTCCTGAGTAATAGTTGTTGAAGTGCACGTTGTGGCATTTGGTCGACGGGGGAGCAACTGGCGTTTTGTTGGACGCAACTTGGTTCGATGCATTCGTCACGCTACTTGCTGGCTGAAACAGTAAACTACAACAGAACAGACACAAAAAAGCGTAAATCAAAATCATTCTCGGCTGAAACGTGACCTCAGTGTAGTCTGCGAGGATGTGTTATCGATAGCTAACTAAGCTCAACAAACTCGTACAATGATTACTTGGTCGGGATACGAGCCGCTTTTTCGCGTTTCACAGATTGAGTCATTCTTGAATAATTGTTGTCAATCGAACGGAAGTTTTTCTTTGCTAATTCCCAAATATTGTTTGCAAAAAGGCACAAAATGATTGACAGAATAATTTTTAGGCTACCCTTTCACCATAAACGTCGCAAAAAGAAATAATTCAGGAACTGAGTAATTCCTGTACCATTCCAAGATACCGGCATACCTAGTGACAATAAGGAAATATTTGCCACAGAAAAATTTGGGCTTTTCTAGAAAAATTGTGAATGGAAAATATTATCCCATTAAAATTAGTATGCGTGTACTGAGTCAATGTTAAGATATGTCGAGTAAAATCAAATGAAACGTCTTAGACCGATCATTATAATTTTGTCCTTCTTTTGTGTATTTGCCTCTGTAATATTGGAGGAGGAAACAAGTAACTGGACCCAGAGTTACTGAAAAGCCAGACCGAGGCTAGGCGGAGAAAAGAAAATAAGCAGGAGGCAATTACTGATATAGGGCAAACATTTATAACCCTTGTATCGGCAAACTGAAGTGGGGGAGGGGGGTGGGGCGGGTGGTGGGAGTGTAGTTTTGTCCCCCAACTCATCCTTTCTAGGGGTTGAACTCACACAGGTTTTTTTTTTCGCGCGCCCGGGTTCAACCCCCATATAGCGCGGGGTGTTCAGGGACTGGACTATGTTCAGTGGTAAGGCTTTGCATTGATTTGTAATCGACTGAAGAATATCTCTGTTTTTTCTTTCAAAAGCTACAATATACAACACGTGGTGTTC